CACACCTACTTCAGTTGAATATAAAGACTACAACTAGTCATTTTACATGAAAACATTTGAAAACATAAGTTTTCTATTTTATTTCCCAAAGTAAGCAATATCATATTTCCAGGAAATTACAGTTCGCTGCAGTGCACTTAGATAAATATATATTAAGAAATGGTGACATATGACTACATACATATGCGCTATATATACTGTACATATATCTCAATCACACACACACACACTCAGCCAGACTAGTTTTATTTAGGTGTAGGAGTTTAATTTTGCTGAGAGATGTCTGTGAACCCTATAATACGGTTCAGGTCTGAATCCTCTTGGAAAATCATCAACCCATAATCCTTCACAATGTGTCGCATTCAAATGAAGTGCTGGAACTCCCACTAACACAGTGTAGCAGCAACGGCTAATTTACACACACACACACACACACACACACACACACACACAGAAACAGAAATTGTTCACTCGCACAATACGCACACATATACTGTATATAGTAACAAAATTTGAGCTAAACACACACACACACACACCTGCATGTAACGTGGCACATTGCATGAGCTCCTCCTTGCAAACCTCTTCCCCCACAAGCTACCACACACACATCATGTCACACACATGGTGCATGGTGAGGCGAGGCGTCGCTCACACCACCCAGGAAATTAACTTGACATTTTATGGCGACCACAGAGGAAAAAATACGGAAGGAAAGAAAGAAAAAAACAAAGCGTAACAAAGGCACAGATAACATAAACCCTCTCCCGAGCCTCGCCATCATATTCGCAAGGATTTTCACCGATCTGCAATGCAGACGGCACGGGGTGGCCACAGAAAATGAGCTTTTCCTTCCTCACGTGCCTTCCTCTGGAGACGACGGCTGTCTCTCTCTCACTCTTTTTCTCCCTCGACAAATGCGTCCTGTCTATTTTCATATCCAATTCAGTTGGTCCCATTGGTGCGGTTCTGCCTGATGTGAGGTTAGCAAAATGAAATAAATAGAAACGGGGCAATCTCACCTCAGTCTAAGCTCCCAATTAAAATGATACAGCCGCCCATGTCAGAGAACGAGAGCGTATTGAAATGGGGAAGGAGAGTTGCTTTGTGGCTGCTTGTATTTATTTTTTCGTGTATGCGTATGCATGATGGACGGAGCCATACTGTCATTGCGACTCTTCCTGCACACACCCACAGTCTTCTTTTCCAATTCTTAGACACAACCTAGCACAATATATCTTTGCTAAACCACAGCTATAGTGCAAAATAACTAAATATTACAAAAGCATTTTGGCTATGTTAAAAAATCAGTGCCTATTTGCATCCTCACACATGACATATGTGAAAGTGTGTTTCTAAGATGTGCAACGGTTTGAAGCTGTTGGGCCAGCGCTCGCTGTCATAACCTCAAAGAAAAGATTCAAACACACCCATGCATAAAGAGTCTAAATTAATGTATCTCAGGATGCTGAGTGCATGGGCACACACACACACACACACACACACACACACACACACACACACACAAAGCGTGTGTTTCGTCTGACTTGGTGCATCTCTCTGTGGCTGGGTCCTGCTCTATTAGACATGCAGGAATGTTAACATCATTATGCATTATTCTGAGTGTCTGTCTGTGCTTTCACACCCCCCTCCTCTCTCTCTCTTTCCATTCGCCATATTGTGTCTGAGGAGAGGCCCAGACGTGTGTGCCACAGACTAACGCAGTATTGTGTCTCCTGTCTGGGGATGAGCATTATTTTAACGGTCTTTCATGTGCCGTTGCACACAAATCACTGATCTTTTCGGAAATGGAAGAAGTGGTAAACACATGCATACAGACAACCACACCCAATCACACACATTTAGAAATTGTATTAATGCTCTACACATGCCTTGCAAATTATGCCCAGGCTAGGTTGCCACACATCTAAAGAAAAGCACACACAAAAGTGTGCATGCGATCCAAAAATGAAGTAGAAAGAAAGAAAGAAAATAAATCAACATATTGAATTATATACTGTATAATTTTTTTATGATATATTTTCTAAAGGTGCTCAGTGGCTAAACTAATATTACAGTCACGTGAGTGTTTACTTCATCAAGTCCCATTTTCAGACTGTTAATGGGGAGGGGCTTTTATATTTGCAATATTTCTCTTTGGGAATAATGAAAAGCCAACAAGACACATATAAATGCCATATTCTGATCAAACTAAAGCACTGACCTCTTTTTTTTTTAACCCACATTTTTATTAGGCTGAAAAAAATGATTGAAATTCACTACCTAGATTTGAAGGGGAATAAATTATTTACCTATTATTAATTTCTTTAATGACATCTCTATACCTCTATTTTTAGCCTAGCAATAAATTGTCTTGGGTTTTGTTATTTAACACTTTTTATTTATTTTACACTTATTTCATTGATATATTTTATATTTAAATATATATCGTTCTGAAAATGCAACAGTGATATTATATCACTTCTAAAGCACTGTGGTGAAAAAAAGACTATGATACACAGTCAAAAATGTCAAAGGAAGTGATAAAGGAGGCAGCAATGAGCAAAACGTATGTAGATTGTATAATACAAGGTCGTAGGATGTATGCAAAGGATTTAAATTAATATGCATGACTTTTTAATGTCTTTTCATCTCAAATCCGACATTCCGCCGGAATTTTTAAAACAATGTACCCCGAGAATATATATCAATGTTAACGTTCAGTGTATTTGCAGTGAACCTCCACTACAGCCTCTCCTCTGCTTTCCCTCTCAACTCCTCCCCCTTGCTGCTTGAAATCTGCATACATTTGCATGGCATTACCATGCTCATATTCTTTGTTCTGAGAAGGAAAGGATGATGCGGTTTACCACATTGCACGTCGCTGTTATGCGCTCCACTTGAAGATGCTTGGATATTTAATGAATGCATGCATACATTTGCATGGCATTACCATGCTCATATTCTTTGTTCTGAGAAGGAAAGGATGATGCGGTTTACAACCACATTGCACGTCGCTGTTATGCGCTCCACTTGAAGATGCTTGGATATTTAATGAATGCACAAATGCTTCATCATCTGTAGTTGTGAATGGCTAACTAGCTTTTTGAAAATTAGACAAAAATAGAAAAGCATTAAAAGACTGGTTATATAAGATACTTTTTGTAGGAGGTAGGGATTGTTCAGTGAATCAAATTACTTCTCAAATTTAAAACATTTATGTTATTAATAAGACCTAAATCATGCAGTGACATGCATGAATGTATATTTTTACATGCTATATCTTGTTTTGTTATATTGAACTGCGCTTGAACAGCACCCAATACAGATTTAATTTTACGACACCATATGCATTCAAACATGTCACATAAAACACAGCGATACAGGACGTTTGATACACAGCAGAAGCATGGGGTGGCATGCTGTAAACTGACATCTATTGTCCTTGTGGGCTCTTCCCTTTGTGCCACGGCCAACTGTAATCATGCAAACGCAGGCGCCAGACTTCATTTGTTCCTCAGGGCCAACACTAATCACACCACAGCAAGGCACAAGAGAGGAGGGGCCACAGAGTATGCATAAAACAGCCGGGCATTGCCTGTGTGCTGCTGATATTCAGGTATAGTGTACTGACAGCATGCATGCTAGCACTAACTGCTATTTTTTTCTAGTGTTTTTTTTTCTTATATTTGCTAACTTTGCTAGTCAGCTTTCCAAGTATGGACATTCAGAGTTTATAAAGTAAAATTTAAAATTAAAATATGTCCTGGCTGGGTGTGACTACATATTATAATGTAATGAAAAAGAATACAAAGAACTTAAAAAGGATGGGAAATGACTTAAAGGGGTCATATGATGCTGCTAAAAAGAACATTATTTTGTGTATTTGGTGTAATGAAATGTGTTTATGCGTTTTAAGGTCCAAAAAATACATTATTTTCCACATACTGTACATTATTGTTTCTCCTCTATGCCCCGACTTTCTGAAATGCGTTGGTTTTTACAAAGCTCATCGTTTTGAAAAGCGAGGTGTGCTGTGATTGGCCAGCTATCCAGCGCGTTGTGATTGGCCGAATACCTCAAGCGTATGACGGAAATGTTACGCCCCTACCATACTGTGATTCCGTGACAAAAACATAAAACCCATTATAAACGAGGCATTTGTTGCATCCAGTGGGGACATAATCACAGATTATAATCACTTATACTGTCTTTTTACACGTTGCGTTGCATCGCGCCGTGCAAACATAAAACAATGTCTGCATTTGTGATCGGAGAAATGACAAACAGCAAGTGCTACTCTACACTGCTCAAAACTCGCAGTGGCAAATTCTTTAAATATGAAAACGTACTTACAGGCTGTGAGTCAGTCTTCTCTTCCAGGATCAGGAAACAGTCCTCCATAAAATGCGCTGGACACATCTGAATATTTGGGTTGAACTGTTCTGGAACAGTGTTGTTAATACAACTTAACCACTGATTTCTAGTCGTGTCCTCTTTTGGAAGGCCAAACAAAGTAGTTTCACTTTCGCAACGAAACATACAGCGTCTTCACAACATGGCGGCGGCTGCAGCAGCAACAATACAGTAATGCCTTCTTTCTTTGTGTGAACATTTGGGCGGCGTTATGGACGAGTCTTAACTTTGATAAAGAATATCTCTTTGGGTTTGAGACTTTAGTCTTTGCAACTTTAGGGATCTTATCTATTCACGAACAGCTTGTAACACTCCAAAGAGAAAGGAACACTTGAAATCTCATCATATGACCCCTTTAAAAAGTGCATCTGAAAAAGTAAGACAATAGTACCCAAATATAGTTTAAGTGGTTATGAAACACTTTGTCTGATTTAAATCTGAATCAAGACTTTTGTTTTGAGACCAGCATGCTTTGTTGCAACTACATAAATCTATCAGATAAAATAACGCCAAACATTTTACAAATATATTTATGGGCTACGTTTTGTGTTGCTTTTTACATTTGGATTAATCTGAGAACTCACCTCATGTTGGATTATCTTTTGATAACACTGATGCCAGTTTACTCCTGCTCACTTCCAGTGGGTAAGTAATGGTCACAAGTTTTTCAGCCCTGCAACACAAAGGAAAAAAATAACATATTGACTAATTCGCTGAATCTGTTTGCTGAAAAAATGTCAAATTGGACACAAGAAAAAAAAAACACTCCGGAACATTATACAACTGAACAATATGCTGTGAAGTGTGTGTGTGTGTGTGTGTGTGTGTGAGCATGAATCTCAGAGTAGTACTGTCATGTTGCTGTGTCTATGGCATGTGCAAATGTGCAAAAACATATTTACTGTCTTCCATCTTTGCAGGATATCATCTCTGGATGTCCAGAAAGAGTTGCTGCAGCTGGTGTAACCAGCATTGCATTTACCTGGAGGGGGGTTCACCACTGGTGACTTTTCAGATGAAATTACTCTTTCTGTTTCAAACCATCCCTCTGTATGGGAGAATACTGGCAGAGGCTGCATGACTGTCACCTCAAAGTATGTCTCTGGCCAACAGAGCCCGAGATCTCTGCAGCTATGCATTCCCTAGAGTCACACACACACACACACACACACACACACACACACACACACACTGTGCTGCTCTGCTCTACTGTCGCACTGATCCAAAGCATAACATTATATTTATCTTTCTACATATTTAGGCATAAATACACATACATTTTGTGTGTAAATAGCTCTGTAGTTTGCAGATGTTGACAGCTTAACAGAAAGCTTTGGATGGTTTCTTCATGTGTTCAGCAAGAAGTAAACATGCAAAATAACACACTGCCGGAGGCCAGCAGCTTTTCCAGCCAAATGTGTATATTTTTATACCATTAGCTGTAAGCGTAATCAAATTGTATATGCATTTTTGTGCATAGTCCTATAGCCTAAGAGATTTTAGTTTTTCGGTATACTACAACACAATAAGGGAGACTCCTCTGAACCATATAGGTTTCAAAACAGCTTTTTTGTACACGGAGACACAGTTATTGATTTATTTATAGCTCTGAGAATTTGCATAATCTAAATTCAGCAGACAACAGACATGCTCAGTCACACCGCTGCGGTTAACGCCACTAACACATACGGTGGTACAACGCTGTTATTGCACAGATTGCTTATGACTTAGAGTAAAAACAATGTTATTCAATCTTGTATTTTATAACTGTCATTATCATGCAATGTAATATTACCAATTATATACACTGAGAAAATATATAATATATTGTATAATACACAATGACAGATTTTTAACAAAATCAACAGTAGCATTACACAATAAATCAAACCAATAGTCTAATTCATTCACTGATTTTGAAGTGTTCAGGTCAAGATTGAACTACTAAATGCAGGACTGAACTGTGACATTTTAACCATTGAAATTTGTGAGAATTTACACATGTTACTAAGGGTTGTATATCATATTAAAGGACAGTATTTTGACTTTTTGCAATCACTGTACTGCTTCTAAATCTTGACACTGAGGTTAATTTGCTCCATGAATCATGCTGCAGGGTTGTTAGGGTTAGGGTTAGGACATTTTGGCACTAGACCTGCCTGCTTCTTTGAGATGTCAATAAGCCGTGCATTGACTCTGATAAATCATGATTTGCTGAAACACTGATATACACAATTACACACACAACCATGACAGATCTGAATGCATACATGCACAGATACATTTAAGTGGTTTCTTAATACCCTCACAGATCCACACCCACACAAGTGCATACATGTGAATCTTCCACTTATTAACACACACAAACACACACGTATATGGAACCTGTCCTGCTTTTGCACATTGCCATCATACGCATGTGAGATCACCCCTTGTTGCCACAGCGACTCCAATCAGCGGGAACAACACTGTACATGTGACCTGGTCGAGAAGGGGCGGGCCTACAGGATGCTCTGTGCCAACATGTATCTGCTTGTTTAACATCCCAGCACATTTTATGGCACTTTATTCAGTTAGATTGTAGGAAGTAAACTTACACATGCATGTAAGCATCCTGAATCTAGAAAAATCTTCTTACGAAATCAGTGGGATATAGACGAGAAAGAGAAAGAAAAATACTGCACTTAACTCATCACAACACTGTAAAAAGCATCAATATGCTGCAAGTGATTAATTAAATGCCACTTTATGCACCAAACAAAAATTTAATTTGTGGGACATACAACCTGAAAGTAAAACTAAATGTTGTCTTAAAATTATGCGACTTCTCTGATCTGCACCCAGGGACTACAAGCTTAACCTTTTTCTGTTTCTGCTCCCCATCTGTGGAATGCTCTTCCTTCACTGATTAGACACTCTTCAACATTGGACTGTTTTAAAAAGTCTTTAAAGACTCCTCTTTTTAAAGCTGTTTATTGTAATTGAGTGTACTTTGTTATTAATGTATTGTTATTATTTCATGGTGTTGTAGCACTTTGGGTTTCAGAAAAGCGCATTATAAATAAAATGCATTATTATTATTATTATTAACCGTAAGCTTTCTCATCATAAAAAGAGATATACAAAGACATGAAATCTGGTTAAACTAACCTAACATGTACTGAAGACTTGTGCCCTTTTGAATTCAGTAATGTAACCACAAACATTGATAAAAACAAACAAACAACAACAAAAAAACTCTTAAATCTCGCTGTAACCTTACACAATTACAAAAAAAAATCTAATTTCTTCTTGTGTCCCACCGTCTTTGAATATGGCTTGTTAAAGATGCTATTTACATTTGCATCTACAATTATTTTACCTCCAAATGCATTTTCATCAAAGTGAAGAAAGCATAGCCTATGTTAACAATTGACTAACCATGGATCTGAGGACACAATTTAAAAACTAAACAGGCTAAGCATCCGTCGATTAAATATATTTAAAATTAGAAGTAAACTAAATATATTCAAGGAAATAAACAGAAACGACAATGTCAGTTGCCCAAATGCTAACAACTGAATGAGATGAGCACAGCATTAAAGACAATTGTGCAGAAGCGCTATGAAGAGATTGTGACTGAGAACAGGTGGAGGATGTGGAGAAGCCAAAAATATGAAGATTGCCTGCCCAATGAATACTGATAAGCTGCCATGGTCGCCATGGTTATAGTATTCAGCCAATTACAAGACAGCAATATGCCTGAACTGTCTAAGACACACACACACACACACACACAATAGCAAACGGCTCATTCATAGAGCTGCAGGCAGCCAGCTTACTACATACAAATTAATATTCAAAAGGAACCTTGGAGTTCACCTCAATCTAGGTCCTAAATCATGTAAACATGCTGAATATTTAGTTGAAGCTCAGAACAAGTACACTTACGAATCTTTGCTGATTTCCATAAAAACCTCCAAAACAGAGATTATATTAAGATATCACTTAGAAGGTGTAAATCCTCAAACACACAAAAAAAACATGAAATATCAAATATGTGTTTTATATGTTACAAGTTAAAGCACTGGCTTATAGCATGCAGCGCTGCCTTCTCTATAGTATCACTGATATTCAAGAAAAAACATGACCCATTTCTATCACTCAAAGCATGTGGTTTTGCAGTAGTGAAAAAAATGATCTCAGAAATGATTTGCAAACATTCAACATTACATTCAACCAATGCGGACATCTTGAATAGATTGACTGTCAAGTCCTGGTGCATACAAAGCAAGCGCTGGATATGTCAAATGAGAAGACATGTAACAGTTTTGTGTGATGCAAAAAAAAAGGAGAACATGCCAAATTAATTTAGAATGACGTAAGTAAAAATCAGGTTTTTGTTTTTAACACCATTGCTGTCTTGTACTCAAAAGGCAAGGTGTCAATGTCTTTTCACAGTGGATTCTGGTAATAGCCTGACAATATCACGTTACTTCTTTTTTTCTTATTTACAACACATAAGGCCCTACTATTACAGGCATTCACAGAAAAGGGCTTGGGATTAAAACTACTTTAGTTTTGGCATTTAAACAAAGCTATATATATTTTCTTTTTCAATACATCATCATTTTGGGGAAAACAACAACAACAACTACTACTACAAATACAACAATAATAATAGCAACATACTGTAATGCATTTATTTCTTTTATAAATTCTGTTGGCTAGATATTAAAATAATGATTTAGTTAAAAAATGTTTTTAAAGCTCTGGGCTATTTCTTAAGACTAACATTTTAAATAAAATTACAATTGCACTGTGTAAGTGTTTAGTTCCTTGATAGTGTTACTGAAAGGTAAATGGTTTAAGACAGAATATGGTTTAAGGTTTATTAAGCCTATAAAATGTCTATTTTAATCTGCAACTAACTTGCCTTGTAGGCCTCTCAAATACTGTATTTATTTCAAAAATACTCTGAATAAATTCATAATAGAGTAGACCTATATTAAAAGTCTACTGCAAAGAATAAATACGGTATAATGAGAGGGCGTTAAGCCAGAAGAAAAAAAATCTCACACTTGTCAAGTTCAAATGCAAGCGCTTTGAGGACAATAGTGGTGATGTCATGTTTCAACGCGGTCTAAGGCAGAGCTGCAGCAAAGCTATGCTTCAAAACTTCAAGCTCAATACGCCACTTATTTTACATACACACGCCTTATTCCCACACTTACAAACAATTCACCTTAGTAGCAGAGGCGTATATAGCTATCATCATGCCTGTGATATATTCACAGCCGTTAGGCTACTGTTTCTGCTTTGGGGCCCGCGCCTGCTGAGGCTGGGAACGGTCGCCACTTTCTAAAGGGATGCAGATGAGTTGGGTGCACTTGACATCTTTTCATGACCCATGTCGCCCCCAGCCCCCCCAGCCCGCCGGCGCTGTCTGTCATATTCTGGATAGGGCCGTGGCATTACCACTTGCCCTCGAGCGTGGGAATGGGAGCGTCCAGTCGTTCACATCTACTGCGCTCCGTTTAACGGAATCAATTAAGGAGGACCGACCCCCTCGCTCCCCATGTGCCCACCCCTTTTCATTTTTGTCAGCTCTCTCTATATGTCCTAATTATTTCTGTTTGGGATGCCAGCGCCGTTTCCTGGCCAAAGGCGACCGAGCTGAAATAAATAGTGAGC